CGGCTATCTTTGTTGAGTTAGACGGGGGCGAGCAAGGGTTCGACTTCTCTTTCGCGAAGGCGACCAGGCATGCAGGACCGGGGAGGAGTGCGCGTGCGACGCCGCATGGACAAATCCAGAACCGTGCCCACGGACCAGCAGCCCTTCAACGAGCTGCAGGAGCTCAAGGAGGACCCCCTGTTCGGTTGGGCGCAGGAGGATTCCAAGGTTAGTGCGTGGGTAGCTTTTCGTTCTCACGGCCCGTCTTCCTATTGCGAGCTGATTGGTCCACCTCTTCGCTGTCACTAGGCACCTAGATGGCAAAAGACGTGGTCGACGGGGTTGCACAATGCCGCAATCGCCATTTCCCTCATGCTCTGTCGGGGCGAATTGCTTGCAATGCCTGTGATGTGCCTGGAGAGATTGCGAGTACGGGCCGGGTTTTGCTTGATGCGTGGTTAGGTGGTGAACCCCCCCCCCCCCCCAAGTTGGGCACCCAAGCTGTGTCTCGCTTACTACCATGGCGCGGAGCGAGAGGGTGGGAGGGGGGTCGAGAGAGGGGAACGTGTTGTTTCGGCTTCGAGGCAGCTCTCGATGCACATGGTGGCATTACTCATATCGTTCCGATCTCTCACTACAAGCTTATGATATAATAGTAGCACCTGGTCAAGTTAGTGGAAGCGGCGACGGGCAGGAATGCACATGTGCCTGAGCAAGTCCAACACGAGCTTCTGTCGGGACAGCAGTGCACCGCATTAACACAACCCTGCTGTACGATTGGAGGGTGGGAGAGCTTTGCTTTCGCGGGCTCGTGTATGCGACATTTTTCAAACGACAAAGGACCCAATGCCCGTCGCGATGCACGAAGCCGCATCGGTCCCCACCTAAGAAGCGTCAGACGAAGTCGCATCGGTCCCCACCCAAGTAGCGCCAGACAATGTCACATCGGTCCCCACCGAAGTCTGTGCGGCTTCGGTGGGGACCGATGTGGCATTGTCTGGCGCTTCCTCGGTGGAGACCGATGCGGCTTTGTGTGACGCCACTTCGACGGGGACCGATGTGGCATTGTCTGACGCTACTCAGGTGGGGGCCGATGCGGCTTCGTCTGGTGATACTAGATAGACAGGACGGAGGAGGGGAGCAGACTATTTGTAGTGGTTGTCGGTCGGTGCCAGGACACGTCTGATGTCGGCCAGCACAAACCGAAAATAGCTGCTTGATTGTAGTCGAACGCTTTTTCAATTGTTCGAGAACTTGTTTTTTATCATTCTTCACTATTCTTCGCCGCTGGCGCACCCTCTAGTCAAGACCTTGACCGCCGGCTCGATACGAAATCAGCACCGGGCGTCAGGTATGTCAAACTTTGGATCCACAGGCATTCGTACTTGTTTTTTTCATGTCACCGCAGCTGAGAACGCTGTCACTTCCAACACTGCTGTTCGCAGCTCTCAGCACCAAATCATCAGAACTCGGGGTCGAATTTGTGGACCATATCACTCGATATTTTCCCGCGTGGATCTACTCAGCATAGACGCTTGCACGGACTTTGTGGTTCGATGAGAAAGTCGCACCAGCGACGACCAAAATCGCATTTCGAGGAATCACTCCTTTTTAGCTTGCCTCCAAATCTAGACTCCTGGTGATGGCGAAACTACCTCCGTTCTTGCTGAGAGTAAACAGTAGCTGATCCAAACTTGAGCGCCGAGGTCCAGGTCCAAACGAGGACCAGCAGTGGCCGCTAACTTCGTGACCCAGTACAGGATAGCGCCGTTAGGTTGCTTGTGCTTACCTTCGACCATCAATGACATGCCTTCAACCGTGCCCTGTTTATCCTTCGACGTTACCGCCGGACAGGGCCTGGTCACTCGGTTAGCTCTCATCTACGCGGTCGCAATGGCTGTCAGGTGAGCCGTTCTCTAGCATGGGTCTAAATGCCGCCTATTGGGAACTCCTGATACGTGTAGTGTTGTACAGCAGAAGCCCTTTTCCCGCTTTTCATGTATCCCGTAAGTTTTCTCCGCCACTTTTTCGGGTGGCCCTGCGGGTGGTATTCAAGCGCCAAGCGCCGCCATGTACCTCCTCGCTTGCGTGCGCCACAAGATGGAGGTTGTGAATCCCTTGGACCCCGTGTATGCCGCGAAAGGCTTCCCCTTCTTCCCCGTTGAAGCGCGTGAACCGACCGGTTTTCGTCAGCCGAGAAGCAGTAGCAGCGACATGTGGTGTTCACGGGAGCCTCAACGGGAGCCTGTAGACATATCTCCTTCTTGCCCCCCTTCTTCTGCGTCCCCACTTCCAAGTATTTTCATCACGCAGATGGTAACAGTAGTAGTAATAGTAGTAATAGTAGTGCCGTATTCGCACACTTTTTCGTGACCCCGTCCTCTTCCCCCTCCCGCCCCCGCGTTTGTAAACGCCTCTTCTGCTGTACCCGGCGTGTTCGTTCTTGCCTCTACTTCAATATTATAGCATTCCCATCGGCACCACGACGTTTCCGAACCAGCTGCCGGAGGCCTTGCTGGCCGCAAACATCGGGGGTTTGGGTGTTCTTTTGGGTGAGATTCGTAGGCGTCTGCGGAACGCACAGCAGTAGTCCCGAGTAACAAACACGGTGGTAGTGTTAGTAGTAGTAGTAGTAGTAGTGGTAGTGTAGGTGGTAGCCACAACACCCGGTAGTGTAGGTGGTATCCACAACACCGCCCGAAGAAGAAACTGACAGAAGATCCACGGCAGTCAGATTTCATCGGGCAAGGGTCGAATTGCTCGGCCGGCTCGTCACCCGGCTGTGGTGCCAAGTCTAGCGACAAGAAACAGCCGAGAGTAAAGACATGGCATGGTTTTGTCGGATATAGGAAGGCTTAGTACAGTATTTCACAGCAGTGCTTGGTCCCGGCTGTGTCTCCTCTGAGGTGGGGTAAGGCCAGCCTTGTGAGGGAAGCGAGGGAAGCGAGGGAAGCGAGGGAAGCGTCTTGTCTGGTTGAGAGGAGGATGTCTTACGTTTCAGCCTCTGTACGAGAGTCGAGCTATTTTCGTTGAACCTCTCTATTTGTTTTACTTCGACCGCACGGATCGAAAAAGTGACCACTCATAGGCCCTGACAGGTTCTCTAAACTTTTGGGGTGACGTGGCGGGTGTCCGGGGTTCCGTGAAATCGACCGACAAGCCACCCCCGTCTCACGGTGTCGTGCACCCCGAGGTTCGAGCCCTCTGGTATTTATCCTCGATCCCCCCTTCCCCGTCGCGTGGTTCGCCTTTGCACCCTGCACAGCGGTGGCTATTCGGCTGTACAGCGGCTGGAACTACGTATCCCTTCGCCTCGGAGCCGAAGTCGTGGAGTACGAGGAGTCAGGTGGGTGCCGCCTGCCTTTTGGTTCTCGCGAACGGCGCGCGCCGCGAAGAAATTTTCTGCACGCGCTTGTAGCAGGCGCGGGATGGACGCATGCGCCCACCACACTGCTGCCGGTGGTCTCACCGTGGAGGCGCTGCCCGTTTCGGCGCGTCTTTGTTTTTCCGCTTGCGTGTCTTTTCGACATCTAGCAACCAGCTTGGCTATGTTGCGCGTCTGCTGTGTTCACAGGCACATTCACCCACTTAGACGTCTGCCTTCGATGCGAAATGTTGTGTAGGAAAGTGGTAAGCAAGCGGTCCTTTGCTCCTTCGACCCGTTCTCCGTGCAAACGATCTGTGTTGTGCATCCATTGGGTGGTCGACAAACTTGCTCTCTTGTTCTTTGTACAACGGATGATGGTTTTAGGTTGGTACGACGGCAGTGAGTGGTATAAGCCCCCGGACATCCGCGCCAGAGACGAGATGCTCAACAACTACGAGGTGCAGCCGGCGGTCGACCGTCTCAAAGCGTGAGTCTAGTAAAACCTTGCCCTTTGTTCGTGCGCGACAATGTACTACGTTGTGTTTTTCCCTCCTGCAAGTTTTGTGCGTCACCCAGGGATGCGTCGGAAGCACAGTAGTGCAGGCGCTGTTTGACTTCCCGTGTTGGTATTCTTGGTCATCTCTTAAGTTTCGGCGAGCCTACTGCGCCGTGTATGGTTTTGTCTTCGTTTCCCGTTGAAGGGGGGCGAGCTCGCCTAGCCGTACGGTTTGATTAAATCGGAGGACGTGATATTTACATTCCAAGACGTGAGTCTTTTGCTCCATCTCTCGCTCTCTCTCTCGCTTTCTCGCTCTCTTTCGTTCTGCCTCCTTGCGCTTGCCGTTAGCAGCGTACGACTTGAGTCTCGGAATCCAGGTTTCTCGGCTTCTCTACCCCCCCCTCTCTTTTCGCTTGTTGCCTTCTCCCGAAGAACGAAAAACAGATGATTGGGGTCTCCTAATTCGAGTTTTTTTTTTCGCCTAACCCTGACCCTCACCCCCCCCCCCCCCTCTCTTTCTTTCTCTCTCCCTCCTCCTTGGTTGCACTGCGGCAACGGCGGCGAACGAGCAGGGTTCTCGGCGCGATCGGGCTCGGATTTATCCTTACGGTGGTTGGGTTCAAGGTGGTGGTGCCGGATGACCCGTACGCGATGCTAGACGACACATACCTCAACACCCTCAAGGGTGACGATGACATTGCGAACGACGCCGCCAAGAAGGTATGAGAACCACAACACCCTGGCTGCTTCTATTTAGTAGGTGCTACTGCTGTACTTGATCTAGCAGGTGCTACTGCTGTACTTGAAGCAGCACCCCTAGCAAAATTGTCGGATCAGCGTGGGCCGGGGCGCGAGCACGCCAGGGCGGAGATGTTTGCCACTGCAAGCGACCACGGCCGAGGAAAGGAAAAAGACAACTGCTTCATTTCCCCCGTGGGTTCATCCGTGTTATGCATACAAGCCGGTGTCAACGTTCCGAGCGCATCGAGTCCCTTCTTTTTCACCCCGCAATCGCAAGTTGTCGGTTTTTTACCTTACCAACGCCACGCCGTATTTGCCACCCGTCGTCCAACCAAACCGTCCTTCGTCGCCGGCATCGTTTTTGCTACCAGGCGGCAGCAAGGGGTACGAACCGGCCCGTCTATTGCGAGTCGCGGTACTACCAGGCCATGGCGGGTGGCGGCCTTTTGTGACAAGTAGAGAGCGGTCGCAACGTTACAGTTATCCTTGCTGTGGCTGGCTGGCTGGCTGGCTGGCTGGCCGCTCGCTCGGTACGTCGGCAGCGCACGTTGGCTTGCGCGTACGGTAGATGCAACACAGATGGAGCGTGGGGGGGGGGGGGGGGGTGATGGGCTCGATCAGGTTTATTCTCCACCGCACCGTGAGGAGAGAAGAGAGCGCAAGCATTCCTTTGTCTCTACAGGCGCACTGCGGCGGTGTGGGGCTGATTAGCGCTGGCATTGTCTTCTCCCGATGCCCGCTACTGGAATGCACGCTCTCTAATTTTGTTCGCCTGAAAGTATGACTCGTCTTGACAGAGGCAGGCATGAGGTTCGAAGGGCTGTGTATCGTGTCCGACACGTTCCGCCCCGCAGATGATGCGATTCAGGCTGCGTAACAGTCCGTTATTTCCCCAGCCCAACCGCACATGCGTACAATATGCCCCATGTTTTCGTTCCCTCGCTTGATGCCGCGCGAATTGGGGGATTTGGGTAGTCGGAATGTTGATTGCCAACCAAAACGTGCTGTTTACCAGAGATTTTTGTGTTAGAGGTCACCCCCTGATCCGCCATGTGATTAATCTCCTCGCGCCAGGTGCCCAGTACTTTACCCCTGGTGTTATGAGTGCACAGGCAGCGGCTAGGGGGACGCTTAGAGTGTGAAATATTAGGTGGTGGTTGATATAGAGGCCGGAGTCGAGCGGCACAACACAAGGCGGGACCGGTACACACGATAGTGGTTCTTTGGGAGAGGGCGGAACCACGCGGTGAATGCATTGGACTGTTCGTAGTTTGTGCATGAGTTTGGGGAGTTGGGGTGCGCTTCAGGTGTGGGATTTAGAACGCTTGGATCACCGGCCCTGCGATCAAACCAGGGAATTGGCGCCAAGAAGTGTGGGCTTATGCGCGTGGGCTTATGCATATGCCTTGTGTACAGTCTTTTCTACGACGAGAGGGATTCATGACTGTCGGTGCCTGTACATTGGTGGTATTTCGTGCGGCTATATATAGCGTCGGCGGTGAGGGTCAGAGAAGGTGGCGAGCTTCGTTATTTTTTGTTATTTTAGGAATGGTTGTGGTGGCGTAGGACCGGGGTGGTGCTGGACGGTGTGTGTGCGGCAAGATTTTGGGTATTGGTGACGAGCTGGACACACACTGGCGGACTGAAGGCACCTCTTGCTAGAGAAGAAGGCCGAATACATCTCCCGGGGTTTAAGTTTTGACTTACTGTATGCAACTGACGTTTCACGATTAATGGGCCTGGTGGCTTTTGGTGTCTCTGGTCAGTCCACCATCAACAGGTTCGCACCGTTATTTGATGCGGGTTGTGATGATAGTGTCGCTTAGGAGGAGTCAAACGGCGGCGACCGTCAAATTATCGGGTAGACCGCAAGCGACCCACGCGGCGAGATGTTTGTTTGGGTGGCAGGATGCATTCGAACGTTGCCGGACACGCGCCATCCAGTGTTTGTTCGCGGTAAATTTATAACATAATGAGCTGGACTCTAAATAAGAGTTAACCGACACATATGTTTGTATGCCTGCATGTATGTGTTGCCTAGACACAAGATTCGGCTACAATGCTTCTCGAGACGGATACATATATGATGAACTCTCATCGCCAGCGATCGTCTTTTTTTTTGTCAGGCTGCAGTCATCTAGACTGGACTATCTGGTCCAGTGACGGCACTGCTTTGCTGTGAAAAAAAGACTTGCGCACTCGTCCACGTGCTCGCCTGATGTCCACGTCTGATTTCTCCTCTTTCCCGTCCAAGATTATGGGTTGGCGACATGAAAATAGCGCGTTATTGTATATGTGCCATCTTCCTACATTCCAGGCATGCATGTATTGGCCTACAGCAAGCTACACTACATTGTATGGACTAAGGTCTCACAAATATCATGTGATTTTTGAATTTTTGGATATCTTTGTATCTTCATCTGCGGAGCCCCCTGCAGGGCTATGCCAAGATTTTTCCCCGTAACCCCCAGGTGACCGGCTCTCTTTTTGGAGAGTCGCTGCGCTTGCCAACCAACTGCCCCCAGCGACAGGCAATCACAACCCAGCGGCAGCGGTTGAATGCACGCGAGAACATCGGTGAGAGAAGAAACAGTTGGATTTGGTTGCTCTGCTTTGATTGCTCCTTGCGATAACATCTCAAGCGAGATACATTGCCAAGGCGCGCAACCGGCATCGTTTTCACTCTAAAATAGACGAATTCGCGCTTGGGCGTAGGCCTCACACATGATGCTGCTGCTTGCCGTTGGCCGCGCTGCTGTTGATTATTGATACCACCGCTTGTTGTTTGACCTGTGGTTCGATGCTGCGTCTCGTGGCACGTGTCCGGCTGTGCCAAACCTTCTCGGTGCATCTGTCTTGTTTCCGATCTAAAGCGTGGGGTAGTCGTTGCCTGTGTAACTGCAAATTGAACTGGGACGGTGAGAGTCTATACAAGGTAAGGTATGTAGCGCGCCAGGGGTTCACGACGAGGGAAGGCCGGTTCACGACGAGGGAGGGCCGGGAGCATGATCGCCATCGGGTGTTTCAAATGAGCTCGATGTGAACGAAATCACCGAGGGTTGTATTGCCTTCCATTTCGAATCTGTCTATGGACTGCTGTACAAACCTGCCTACGCTCAGCAGCAGTTGACGTGTACAGACGGTTGTTTGTGTTTCCCTGTGTGTTACGTTCATGATACGCAGCAGCACTCACATTTTGTCGGCGTCGTCATTCTCTCTCCCCGCTCTATTCACCTCCCCCCCCAGGTATTCCCCAAACAGCCAGACGTATCTCCAGCAAGTTCTTTCAACATGCCTACCACTCCAGCGAGTGGCAAGGAAAACATTGGCGGCGTCGACCCAGACGCAGCCAACACTACCAAGGCCCCAAAGCCTGCTCGCCGCGGCGTAGGCCCGCGGAGTGGGACGAAAAACACCTCTCCCCGGGTTTCTATCACCGGCTCTTCTGTTGGGCGGACCGCTGCAAAGAAGTCGTCGGCGGTGTCTCCCGCGCCATCGAAGACGCGGCAGGCGGCGGCTAGGCCATCGAGCAGCATCAGCAGCAGCAGCAGCAAGAGCACGGCCACTGCCGCCACAGTACCTCGTGCTCTCGCCGCCAAGGCCTCCTCTTCGGGCCGAGGGGTAACGGTAGCAGCGTCGGCTCGGCAAGGCTCTGCTGCGGGCAAGCCCCAGGCGCAGCAGAAACAGAAGCGGTCGCGGCCGGCGGTGTTGGTGTCCTCGCCGGCGCCGCCTCGTGTAGTATCCGATGTGGGCGGCAGCAGCGGCGGAAGCGGTGGCGGCGGCGGCGGCGGCGGCGGCGGTGGCGGAAAGAAGAGGAAGAGCGCCATTGTCGGGGGTGAGGGGGGAGGGAAGAAGCAGCAGCAACAGCGGGGGTCGATGGGCAAGAAGCGGCTCAAGCCCAACAAGGAAAAAAACAGGCAGACCAAGGTTATCAGTCACCCAGCGGCGAGGTCAAGCGCCCCGCCTCTCCGCTTACCCTCTCGAGGCCGATCTGATTTCGATTTCGATTCCGACGACTCAGCGGCGGACGACGACGACAACCGTGCGCGGAATACCGTACCCGCAGCGGCGGCGCCGGCGAGCAGGAAGAAGGCACGGGGCGGGGGTGCTGCCGGGAACAAGGTGAAGCGAATGCGTACATCGTCGGGCGGCAGGCGAGAGGAGGCGGACGGTAGCAGAGCGCGACCCCTGGAGGGGCTAGCGGCAGCGAGTCCGGCCCCTGGCACCCGCGTTGCAGGCACGAAAGCGACGGCTACCACAGGTAGTCCTTCCTCTTCTCTGAAGCTGACGGCTCACCACAGCAGTACCTCGACGGCAAGGAGCGGTGGTGGCAGCAGCAGCGAGGCTAGTGCATCATCCTCTCGGCGGGGACCGTGGCGCCTCGGCGCTCTGTTCGCAGACTCAGACGACGACGACGACCCCGAGGGAGACGGGGACGGGGGCGGGGGTCTCGCGGGGTGCAACTGGAGGCTGTCTGACGACGAGAACGAAGGCGACGACGAGATCGACCTGCACAAGAGGAGGAGCCCACGGCGGTCTGCGGCCGGGAGGGGGGGGGCCGTGTCTGCCAGGAAAAAAATGCGCAGGGCGACCGGCGGCGGCGGCGGCGACAGGGGAAGCGATGGATGCAATTCCGCTGGCGGCGGCGGCGACAGGGGAAGCGATGGATGCAATTCCGCTGGCGGCAGTGGCGGCCGGGGGGGAGAAGGCAGTGGAGCCAAGGTGGAGCAGGCTGGTGGTTGGGCCGATGGTAGTCTTTCGCCGTCCGTCCCGGTCGTGGACGCTACAGCTGCTGGCGGTAGCCCAGGCAAGGCTTCGACGAGCCAGCAGGGCATCGAGGAGCAGGCGGAGCAGGCCGAGCTGGAAGCGATTCGAGCGCAGTTCAGGAAGGTGGACTCCCACCGGCTGAGCCTGTCGCGCTAGACAGTGTCGTGTGATGTGCGGGCCGCGCGGCGGACAGACGCCCCGGTACAGGCAACGCGCTCTTGCATGTGGCATACGGCGGTATTGCGAGTACCGGTGGTGCGGCGGGACTATTGAGAAAGTCCGGATATAGATATATATATATGTTGTGGTTCCAGGGAGGTAGGCGTGCGGCACCCCCTTGTGCCTTTGAAGTGATGCATGCTATTCTGGCGCGGAGCGACGCTGGGGGCTGGAAAGGAAGGGCGAGGGGGGTCGGTCATGCAGCGGATCGTTGTAGAGCTATTTCAATGAGGTATTTCACTGTTGTAAGTAAGGGTTTCCTCGGCATGTACGACAAGTCACGTTTGGATTTGCCGCAGGGGGCTTGGAGAGAGAGCGTTTCGACTCAAAAATGTTTGGATGTGTGACCGTCGTTCATCCTGATGGGCGTTCAAAACGAGAAGAACGGCAGTACGAGCCAGTGTAGAACATCGGCGATGATGGTGGTCTTACCGTTCTTCTGTAGTTGCAGATGACACGTGTTTTGTACATTATTATGTTTTTGGCATCTAGCCCTTGCAAAAATCAGGCTTTGCGTCCTTCGTGAGCGGGACGCGCCGCTTCCGGCTGTGGCTTTTGAGACGCCGTGGAGGCGACACGAGACACAGTACAGTTAGGGCGTGCTGGGTACTTTGTCCGCGTGGACGTTGAGAAGGTTGGAGTTGGAGAACGGCAAGAACGTTTTTCTTGGCAGCATTGGAAGTTGGCGAGGAAAGAAATATATATACTCCACAACAATCGCGTGCGCACTCCCGGTGCAGTCAAGGTATCTTCGTGAAGGGTGCTGTAGCGCTTCGTTGTGGGGAGCTACTGCTGTAGGGGTTCGAAGAAGCTTATCACCGACGTGTCCCCGTTGTGTGGTTTCTTCGTATCCAAAGGCTTGTATTGTGTGCATCAAACAGGTTTAGAAGGCCACTAGAGTTCGGAGCACGGACCGCTCTTGTCTTCGTGGGTGTGCCCTCTCGGTGCCACTGCATTTCCACGTAGTAGATGCACCGCGTGCCCTTGTTTTTCGGTTCCCAACCGCATATTATTGTCTTGTGCTCACCTACAGCACTCTTTCGATGAACAGCAAACATAGCATACCGGACGTGCAAGTTGTAGAGTTTCTGTGTCTTTAATAGGATGTCCGTGTCGTGCACGAGGGGCTGAACGCCCTTGCAGAATCAATCTTCCACCATGCGAGTGGTTTTCGGAGAGAGGGGGTGGCTGACATTTGTTTTTACGAATCAGGGTCTTCACACGTGAGTGTTTCTTTTGTCATGTTTTATGACACACGGTCGAAGTGCTTGCAGAAACTGCTACAGCGGTGCCCCCACTCTCCGATGAAATTACCTTTCCCACCAGAGTTCGAAAACAAGCAGGCAAAGCAACGAAAAGCGTATCGCAGCAACGGCAATCCGACATTTTACGGTGGTCCTCGCGCTGTTCGCCTTTGCTGATGAACTTGTACCTTTTCTTTGGGCACAAACGAAGACGAAGGACACCAAGATAGTTGGGATAGAGAATAGAGTCTATCGGCAAGCCTTTCCTTGTACCGTCGATCGAAGATTGGCGAATCCTCCGTGTGCCGCGGACTTTTTTTTCTTGTGTGTTTCCATCTCACGCCTCTCTGGACGAACCCACTGCGTTTTCGCTCGAGAGCAAAAAATCGCACGTAAAAGCATGTAGGTAGAAAGGTGCAAACCTTCCCCGAAGACAGCAGTAGCACATTGGTGATCCGCGCTCTCGTCGCACGTTCTTTGTTCGCTCTTGCCAAAACCGAAAACGCCTCCGTCCTCCATCCCGCCAACTGCGAAAAAACGCCCCCCGCAAAAGAAGCTGGCGCAACCTCCACTGCTGTTCATACACAGCGCGCAAACCTCATGCTACGGGGACGCGTCGTAGGTGCCCGGCACCATATCGACGCGCCCCGTCAATCCCGACACATGAATCTGACGGTGGCTTCAGCACGAGCAATCTGCCGGCGTACATGTTTGCCGGATCCGCCATGCCAATCTATGGGTTACTGACAGCAGCCCAACAGCGTTGCATTGATCCTCATCAGTCCACCAGCCCTGTTGGCCGGCCGGCTCCAGAAAAAACGCGAAAGTATGGCAGCCATGTATGTACGGCAATGTGCGTCTGGCCTCTAATTGGTCAGCGATGTGTGTCTGGCCTCTAATTGGTCAGCGACGACGGTCACGGTCGCGGCTCCTTGAGCGACTCCGCCTCCGTCTTGACCTATCCTTGTCGTCCCTACTGCTCCTGTCAGCGGATGTTCGTGTTGAGAGAGGGGACGGGGCGGGGTGTACCGTAAATGCATGCTGTAGTCGTTAGACTAATGACCTCGCATACCTACAGTACCGGGACGCAGCGATATGCCGGGTTATCGCCGGCCTAGGCTACCTTTCACAAGGACCCGACGGGGGGGGGGGGATCGAGCACAAAGAGGGTTACTGCGTGCGCGCAAGCGTGTGTGTCAAGGAGAGCAGGGAAGATGATATGTACAGCGATCCCGGGGAAGCCGTTTCGGCCTCGTCCGCCGAGTTATACCCCTGGAGTAAGGCACAAATCCACCCCCTAAAAGTGGAAACTAAAGTGTCGCGCAGTAGGTCAAGAAGTGAGACGAATGCCACCGCACGAACAGACGCGATACATACAAATCTGCGCGAATACTCGCACATACATCTGCAGCGAACTTTGGCATTCCGTGACAGCCTCAAGACCGAGAGCAAGCCATCGTCTGGGGCTACAACGTGGGCTAGCGTCTCACCTTTCTCGGCTCCTGCTCCTGCTCCTGCTTCTCACTCCCCTTCGTCTGTCCTTGTCTCTGCTGTCCCGTCTGTCCCTGTCCCTGTGATGCAAAAGAACGGAAGGAATAGAACGGTTCACAGCATCATCAGGAACGTTCCGGCCGAAACTGTTCGACTACGAACAGTTTTGCCGACCGCAACTTTCGCAGGGCGTCGCGCGAACGGCACCATCACACGAGCACACCCACACCGCGTAAAATGAAAATGAAAATGAAAAATGAATCCAAGGCCGGTCGCAAGCTGACGAACGACGCTACATGACGCCACGGCGGGGATGGGCATATACGAGCATCTCAGCTGCTGTCGAGAAAGGCGCACTGGAAACAAAACCGTTCGGTGCGCAAGCGTGCAAGCAACCAAAATGATGGCTGCAACTCTGGCTGCATTCCGTGGTCACCGACACGGACTGCTGGCCGATGAATCTATTTGTCAGCCATGTTCTTTGCACTGCCCCGCAAAAACGCAACCTGAGAGCGAGGGCAAGACGTGAAGGCAATCATGCCAACCCCGACCTCGTCTGTTAGCATTCCGCTTGACAATGTGCATGCCTCTCGCTCAAAGGCACTCCATACCATGCTTTAGCGTGCCATCCCACTGCGATACCGACAAAAGCTGCTAAATACACGGCGGTCGATACCAGCGAAGGCGTGCACATCCAACGCCCTTGCCAGCCCCGAACAAAACCATGCAGCCTCAAGCCCCCATTGCATGCCCACACAACAAGTACACGCGCGCACGCTTCGCGTGAGAACGACAGCCACAGAGTTCCCCGCACCCACCTGTCTCTATGGTCTCCCCCTCGCCCGTCCCTGTCTCCTCCACTCGCCGCCGCCGCCGAAACCCCATTGTCGCCGCCGCCGCCGCCGCCGCCGCCGCCGCCGCCGCCGTTGCGCCCGCCGCCCGCAAGCCTGGGGCGCCCGAACTTATCATACGTGGTCACGGATGGGGCGGGCGACGCATCGTCAAACTGCCCCCGCACCGGGGGTTTGCCGACGGGGGCCAGGCTGGTCCCGCCCAGGATCCCACCTCCGAACGACTTGCGGAGGCGTGCCAGAGCTGCATCCTGTTATGGCGCGGCGGAAGGGCGCGGGTGCCAAGGCAAATGGGTTTGGGGTCACGTTCTCATTTCGTTCCGCCTTCTGGCGACAAACCGCCACCGCCACTGGCGGGAGAGCAGCGCGCTCGCCGTGTTTCTTTGGGAACTATCAGGGGACCATGCTGCCGGCCCGGATGCGCATGTATGGACTCACCTCCTTGGCCTTCTTGTCGGCGCGAGCCTTGATCTTCTTCCGGCCGAAGTCGTCGAAGCCATCCTCGTCGACCTCCACCGTCGCAACAGACGCCCGGTCCTGGCGCTCGTTGAAGCCACCGCCGAGCCCCTCTCGAGCCTGCCAAGCGTTGTGAAGCGGAAGCATGTGGGATGATAGAAGCAACCAATCGTGCTCGAGTAGGAACCGACCCAGGGGGGGCTGGTTTTGGGGCTTGAAATCCCGGGGAGAAGGGAAAGACGAATAAGGATGCGGCATGTAGGTGCAGCTACTGCTGTAGCGCTGTCTTATCGGGAACATGGATGGGTGAAGAGGGGTCGGTCACCATAGAGCAAGTGGCATGATGCAGCGAATATTGTGGGCGGCCGAGTTCCATCGTGACCGGCAGCAGTATTGCTGTCTGAATGTGGTGGAAATCTTTGGCAGCATAGACATGTGCCAAACGTGAATCCGTAGAGGTAGGCCGTACATCGGTACATCAGAGAGCAAACGGCGGTGATTCATTGACAAAACGAACGAAAGTCAAAGGGTGTTCTGGTATTGCCATAGAGTCTGCGGGAGCAATGCATCTATTTACGTGTAGTCTACCGCTGCTGTTAAAACCAGTTTGTTGTGGACTCCCAACACCATCAGCACCGCTCCTGCCATGTGTTACCAACGTACCACCAAACGAGGGTACCGGTACAGCAGTAGTTAGGAAATCCAACAGCAGGTAACACCGAAACTCACCTCGTCCGTGGCCGCAAGGTTAGGCTTCGGGTTGTTACACTTGTTGCAGGTCGCCCGGCGCTCCCAGTTGACGTTGCCGCACGCGGTGCACGTCCAATCGCCCTTCTTGAACAGCCCCGCCGGTCCTCTGAAGTCCTTCTGCTCCTTCTTAAGGAGAGGCTTTCCACCTCCGCCAGCGGGAGGGACAGGCGCTCCCCGGCCCATGCTGGCATCAAGCTCCGCGATTCCTGCGATGGCGACGCCTCCGCCACCCCGTCCTCGCCCTCTCCCCCTTCCCCTTCCACCCCCATCGCCCCTACCTCCGGCTGGGACAGCCGCAGCGGCCGGATCATACGCTTCGCCCTCAGACATCTCCCTCGCTCTCTACTGCTGCTGTGTATCTGGAACGCTAAATATGATGCCAGTGGATCCCGCACCCGGCGATAGCGACCACGGCTGCAGCAGGCCGATTGCACAGCGTGTCAATGCGCAGTGGTCACCAAGCGAGGTTTAGTACAAAAGCAAGCAAGAGCTGTGCTTACTGGACATGAGTGGACTGCTGCACTCACTCCCCGCCGGGCGCGAAGGTGGGGGGCACGCAAATGGAACCTTGTTGTGTACCCAAAAGTGGGGTTTCCCCGGCGGCGCAGCATGTCTTGTAACCGACGCCGGCAAGCCCGCGTGCTGGATCCCCCGTGATGGGATGCTGGGATCATCGATCTTTGTTCGCGAAAGTTGCGGCTTTCGAGTCTAGATCTCCTGGGATTCAAAGCAGGGGACTGCGCCTGGAAGAGCCGGTGCAACAGGCAAGGAGTTGTGAAATCCTAAGGGTTCGGTTCATTGGTGGTGTGGCCGAAACGAGGGCAGGATTTGGGATGTGAACCTCCGATGTCTTCGGCACCGTCAACACTTCTACAGTACCACTACTGTACACTGCTGTAAATCGCCTATTCTCACTCACAAGGTGGAAGGTTTGGTTAGCCTTCCACGGCACCCACTGCTGTAGCGAATTAAATCGTTGACGTATTCAAAACAAAGCAAGACCGCCATCCCCGTGCTGGATCTGTACGTCCGTGGGCAGAACGACACCAACTCACTGGTACTGGTTTCTGTCTCAGCCTAGGGTTGGCCCGATGTGTGTCCTTGTTGTTGCATTGTTGTAGTTGCTGCTGCATCTGCTGCTGCTGCTGTTGTTGCTGATGGTGATGATAATGGATGTGCTACTTGTTATTGCTGTCTTACCACACTTCTTCCCTTGTTGGTCTTCGAGGTTAAAACCAAAACCCCCGGTCATGAACAGACCCATCAAGACAGATAGATGTGTGCACCCTTTTGTGTGTGTTTTCGTCCCACCTTCTGTGGGTGCAGCCTACAAGAATAAGGAATGAAAACCAGCTGTGCACAGAATAAGCCGAAACAATGAAAGGTTTTCAGGACTTACAAGCACGGCCACCGTTAGGACAGGAAACCCCCACATGGAATTAGAGCAAATCGCTCCAATCCTCACGCTACGTACGTCCATGACGTACAATACGCGCCACCCCCCATCCAAACATATAGTCTAGTCTACATACCTGTGTCTTTCAAGCTCCTGTGAAATATCCGTCAAGTTCTCTTTTGCATGTCTCAAAACAGGATGACGAGCAAAGGGAAGAAAGCGGCACAGTCTGGCGCCAAGAGCAAAAAAGCCCCCGGGTTTGGGAAGGGACCAGCGGCTGGTGTGGCCAGTCAGTTGGCGACGTTTGAAGATGATGACATGTACCAAGAGCCGATTAAAAAGGTGCACACTTTCCGCTATGTAGTGAAACAGCTTCGCGAACTGTATGGTATATCACGTATGAGCGGTAGAGGGTGCTGAGGGAACGGATGACATTCCCCCCCAAGTTTTATTCGACGCTGCTGTTGCGCACCCTTCATCTTCTCAACCTATGGAGAAGGTGGTGCGTCCTGCCAACCAGCTACAGCTGAGTGAAACGGAGATGAAGGAGGAGCACACACGGGTCCTAACGGCCAATGACCCTAACGGTGAGACCCCAGGGACTACGCGTCACTTCAAGTCGAGAACGTAGTTTGTGCTGATGTGCGGGTTGCTGTGCTGTGCCAAGTGGGTGGCACTGTTGCTGCAGTATGTGGACCATAGGTGTTTATGCAACCCCCATTGGTTGTCCTATACCCCCCCAACCTCACTACACACGCCCACCCGATTTCGCCCTTCCCCTTGCGACTGCCTTCTGTTGCTCTCTAAACCTTGAAGTTCCCAACAATATCAGCAAGTACAACTACAAGGATCACATGTATAAGATAGATCCTCCAGGGCCCGGTGACCACCTGGCGATGCATCTAGCTATTGATGGCTGGGCTCTCTTTCGCGAGGGCGACGAGGCCAAGCTGCAAGCGACGGCAGAGGAAAAGAGAAAGGCGGCGGCGGACGAGGCTAGGAAGGAGGCGCAGAAGCAGGCGAGAGAAGGGGGGGGGGGGCATGGGCAGGCATATGACGAAGAAGGTCTCCTGATTGTAGATGGCTCACCATTACCCTCGGGAAGAAGCGTGGTGTTGAAGGAGCCAGACTGACGTCGTGACGTGTTGGTCTACTCGCGCCGTAACTTGCGATTCGATCCGTAGCACAAGCTATGGGACAATATTTTTCTACGTGTGTCAAGCATGAGAGACCGATTTGGCTCCCTGGGGTGTTCTGTCGAACACCATGACTGTGGAAATTATTGTCGCTGCGCGAGAATCAGGTTAACCCAGGACCACTAGTGTTGCTGTTGCCGTCGTCGTTTATGTCGTTGCTGCCAACCGATTACCCTTGGCAACCAACCCACCAGGCTATCGAGGCGGGAGAAGAACCTGACCAGGACGCCGGTAATGAAAGCGGGAAAAACCAGTTCAACTACTCTGAGCGCGCCGCACAGACCTTCAACAATCCTATGCGGGAGAGAGGAGTAGTTACGGAACCGCCGCCAATGCTTTCTTTCAGAAACACCGTGGCGCAGTGGGAGATTTATGACTCGTACATGGCAGAGTACTCGGCACAGGTTTGTGCTCGTGCAATGAAGGAGCTGTTCAGCGCTGGTTCTAGCGCGATACATACACGATACTGCCGGCACTACCGAAATGTTGAAAGTGTTGTACTATCCGTGCGGCACACTAACGTTCGAGTTTTTCGTGTGCAGCCGTTGTTGGAAAGAGTGCTAGCTTTGGTGTCGGAAATTCGCGTCTCTCGAGGAGTTCAACTCTAGTATTAACCTTGAAAATTAGCAGCCTTGTGGAACGTCTATCCTCGTGTGGTTTTCGCGCGCACAAGGACCGGAATACATTATTTATTGAGAGCGGTGTCGGAGGATGTTGTTTGCAAACCTAGGACTTGGTCGAGTCATCGGTAGACTCCGGGCCGGTGAGGCAACAGGAAACAGACAAAAAAACTTCGATCTGCATGCTCTAACAGTCCCGTTTCTACTGCAGTTCAGACATGTGTCCATCACCACCCTCTTCATCGAAACCTACGTCGTGCTTGTGAATTTGCGTTTGCTTTCCATGGAGTACTGGACAGATGGCTGAACAAGAGGTCGAAAACAAGAAGAAGAGAGAAAAAGGTGAGGGAACGTGATTGCGTCCCTGATGTGTCTCGTGCCTCTTCTTGGAAGCTCTCGCACCCCAAGGCAACGTATTGCGGCTTGCTGTGATGCAGGTAATCTTTAGAAAGACAAAACCACGTTTAGAAGGTGCTAAAATATGCTTTGTTTTCTCTCCGACAGGCCATGCACAGAAGTTGAAGTCATCTTTGGTGCCGATTCATCGCGTCCTGTATAAATGTTCGAACCCCACGCAGAGGCCGCCGATGATGGGGCGGGCGGAGGGGGCCGGAACGAGGACGACATGGTTCACAGCGCCAAGATGGGAGGTGCCCTCAAGATTCTGGAGCGGATGGTAAACCAGAATGCGGAGGACGAGATCTTCCAAGACTTCAAGTACTGGGAGGTGAGACCATCTAGCCCTTCCATTGCTTTCACCGGGTTTGCGAACGTACTAAGTGATAGGTTTTGCGATGTCGTACTCTGTCTGGATCTGTGTCTTCAGTTTCGACCACGAGACGTGCTCTCCGACCCAATTACCCAGCAGATTGCAAGCCTTCATGTTGAACGGTCGCTCCTGACGATCTTTACCCCGCTACGTAGAGGCACGAGCATCAATCTGTTTGATGTGCCATGTCTTTCCTCGCCAGAATGCAAGCCATTGCTCCAACGCGTTGGTTCGATCGGCCCTAACACGCCGCTGTTTAGGACGCATCGGATCATTTCCGTGAGGGCGAGGGATCTTTGCTCCCCCTGTGGCGCTTCAGCACGGACAGGACCAAGAGGAAGCAGGTACGTTGCGGTGGCGCGAATCCTTCGGGGTAGGCTGAGTGAGTCGAAGCATTGAATCAGTGTTGCGGCCACGCGGCCGTTTGCTGGGCGTTGAACGGCCCCGACCACGCAAATGCCCCCGCACGAAGTTGTGCAGACTATTGGCCGAAGGCGTGGTGCGGTGAGACTTCCTGTCTACGGACGTCATGTTGCATGCTATGTGGTCCCCGCTGAGGTACGGCACAGTCCACAAACAAAAATGTGCGGTCTCGTTGTTCGTTATGCATGGTATACCGCTCAGAGTAATGCATAGTATTTGAAGGTGTTCAGTTGTCTCGTGCAGACAACAATACGTGCTGGCTGTTGGAACACTAGCGCTCAGCCGTACATGAAAGGTGATGGTAAATGGCGTCAAAACCACCCGTTTCTCACGATCATAGCTTCGTCCGAGCCTTCGATTACATCTGGCATCATTCGTGTGCGTAAGACGTTGTGTACGGTGGAAATGCAAAACACCGGCCGGCCGTCGACCTTGTTCTTTCCCGCAGGTGACGGCCCTAGCGTGGAACCCGCAGTACCCTGATCTGTTCGCGGCAGCCTATGGCAGCTACGACTTCATGCGCCAGGGCAGCGGGATGGTGTGTTGCTTCAGCTTGAAAAACACCAGCCACCCGGAGTACACCTTCGGCACCGAGAGCGGGGTAAGGGGAGGGGCGCGCGGGGGGAATTTGATCTCTTTGGACGCTTCTATCTACGGAGGTGGTGCACGGCTATCTTTTGCACGAAAGGGTTTGGGTCCTCTTTAATTGGTTGACCGTGGGTAACGGTTGCCGTGATTGAAAGCCATTTCGTTGGTCAATTCCAGAGGTTGCGCATCTTTATGACTCGACCCTTAAATCTTGTGCGTGCTCCGTAGAAACACGACGCAAATCATACTGGTTCCGCGACGTGTGCTACAGATGGCACGCTACGCTCGCTACGCTCCTCATGTATACGTACTATGCCGAACTGCACTGAACGAAACAGGTTATGTGCCTCGACTTTCACCCGGTGCACAACTCCTTGCTGGCGGTGGGCTGCCACGACGGCACCGTCATGGTTTTCGACGTCAGACACAAGGCGAACCGCCCCATCTACTCCTCTAGCATCAAGACGGGCAAGCACACGGACCCCGTGTGGCAGGTATGCGAAAAGAGGAGGGAGGATGTGTGTTCGATTGCGCAGCCAAAGCCATTATGGATCGACTGACCACCGTTGTGAACGTTCAAGTTACCACACCTGGCCCGCGTGGTGCAAGCTATTCGACGCCATCCCCGCGATTCAAGCACATAGTAATATCGGAGGTCTGACACCTGCAGCATCTGATCGGGCTCGGGTCGGGACTGTTTTCTGTATCCCGCGTGACGTGTTCAGGTGTATTGGCAAAGTGACGACCAGCCCAAGGAGCTGAATTTTTTCAGCATTTCCTCCGACGGCCGGGTGGCCAGCTGGGTCATGTCCAAGAACGAGCTTAAGATGGAGCCAGTCATGCAGCTCAAACTCGTCAACACTATCAAGGTTAGCAATGGGATCGTCCACAATTGTACCCCTACCCCGATGATCATGTTTCGCGTATTTTTAAACAGATGCTGTACTGCTTTGTGCTCGACTGTCTGTCCACGCTCGATCAACATCGAATATTTTAAACAGATGCGCCTCATCAAGCTGTAACCCGGGGTGCAATCCACTTCAACCTCGGCCACCTTCGCTCCACATGGTGGTAATTGTTTTTCCTCTTTGCGTGTGCGGGGTAACTCTGACGATCGTTACACGTCTGGGCGTGTGCCTATTACCGCAGGACGACCCGGAGGAGACCTCTCTCTCCGGGCTGGCTGGGGGCTGCTGCTTCGACTTCAACCGGCACAGCGAGCACCTCTTCCTCGTGGGCACCGAGGAAGGGAAGATCCACAAGTGCTCAAAGGCGTACAGCGGGCAGTATCTCGAGACGTACGAGGGGCACAACATGGCCGTCTACACGCTCAGGTTCGCAGAAAGGAGGGGAGAAGGATGGAAGCGTCCGACGCTTTCTGGAGTCTCGAAAAACAGTGTTTCTGGTAGGCACGAGCGGTTCTGCTTTAGGGACGTTCTCAACTGAGGAAGGGATTGGTGACCGTTACCGTCCGTTGAAATGTTTCCGTGATCAGAAATCGTTCGTCACCAGAAGAACTTGCGCACGCTATATCTATCGCGACGGACCAGCGTGAGACACAAACATTGCGCACTATCATGTCACAAGCCCTTCTGCATCGACATAATTCCCCCCACCCCCGATGGAACCACTTCTTGCTCCAACGATACTTCGAGCATCTCGGTAGATAAAAGGTGGCTTGAAGATGCCCTCTCGCCACACTCGCCGCCCCAAACACCCCGTCAGGTGGAACCCCTTCCATCCCCGGGTGTTCGTGTCGTGCTCGGCGGATTGGACGGTGAAGCTGTGGGACCACAGCGTGCCGTACCCGATCATGAGCTTCGACCTTGGAAATGCGGTAAGGAGGCAGCGGACGTAAAGTCACGCAGATATATGTGCATCGCACAACACCACAAAGACCACCGCTGGCGTGGTGGTTGCCGAGCGATCGATCCCGTCGACATGTGCCAGTGTGGGCGAAATCGAGAGCCAGGGTTTGTTAGCGAGACTTTCGTGCGGATCCGAGACCAGGGGTATTGTAGGTGCGCCGTTTTTGTTCCTGCCCACCCGTCCATCCATTATTGCCTTCCTACGTTTGTTCGAGGCTTTTCGTCGTCATACACCGAACTAGTTGTGCGCAGTAAACATCTTCGTGAAAGAACGGGCACACCAATTTTTCGGCGCAACGGGGGAAGGTCGGGTGATAATAGTTTCTCGTGTACGGTAGCTCCTGTGAATCCACGTGTTGGGGCTGCTTTGGGTGAGCCCGTGCCCTGTTGGTGAGGTCATTCTTCCTCGGTTCTCGCGTGGAATGAGACGTTTACGGTGCGAATGTTGTGGTTGCTGTTTTTCCGGCCACCAGGTTGGCGACGTTTTCTGGTCGCCTTACTCGTCAACGGTGATGGCGGCGGTCACGAGCGACGGGAAGGTGCACGTCTTCGACCTGGCAGAGAACAAGGTGCGTGTGCTACTACCGAGCATCACGATCTACGCGAACCGGGTGTGATGTTTGCCTTCTGTGGGCGACTGGCCTAAGAGACGAAAGAAAGAGAATGGGAGGGGCTGCGGGGGTGAAAGTCACAGAACACAATGGCAGAGTGTCGAAAGGAAAAACAAAGAGGTAGCAGTTGATAGAGGGAGGCAGATGAAGGGGGACGGTCGAAAGGTAGACAGAACCCCGTAAGAAATACATCTACTTTACCGTGTTCGAGAGTGACAAACGACGAAGGGCCAAACAACAAGTCGAAGGATAGAACCTTCCTTAATTGATCGACCGACATAGAGGTGGACACACTTGTGGAAGTTTCAAGTGTCAGCACCAAGCAGAATGTAAAAACGATATGTCCTCCGTCCAACCCCATCATATCTCGACCTCTGCCGGCCTGTTGTCCGGCTGTCTCTTGACTTTATTCTTTGTGTTGTGCCCGACCTCGTTCTGTGCTGCGTTCTCCAGCACGAGCCCTTGTGCGAGCAGAAGGTGGTGAAGCGATCCAAGCTGACCCATGTGTGCTTTAACAAGCAGGTACGGACAATCTTCTTGCTTTGCCATGATGTGGCGACACATACGTTTCATGGCCTCGCAATGTTTTGGGGGCATTCTTGAAGACACGAAACTCTTTGTGCACAATACGTTGGTAATTTCCGGTCCAAATACACCTTCGGTATGTCTGAGGTTGGGAACTTGCCCAAAAAGGATCTCTCTCAGATAGTTTTTGCGCACACACCGTTATGAGGCACCCGCGGCAAGAATATTTCGCTCGACCGAGTACACAGCAACGAGTAAACCTGCTGTCTACACGCTAGGTAAAGCACGTAGACCACACAGTCTCCAACAAACCATAACCCCCCCCCACCCCTACCCCCACGCCTCCTCCGGTCCTGTGGGAGCAATGTTCCGTCCTCTCGAGGAAGCGTGGTCAGTGGTCAAACAACTAAGACATGCACAACATGAGTACGCCTCCCCCCCTCTGTCCCAGGCCTGCATCCTCCTGAAACTTCACCACTGATCAATTGACCACCCTCCACCCTTTCGCCTACCACCGGTGGTGTCGACGAAATGCAGGACCCCATCATCATCGTCGGCGACGACCGGGGAGGCGTGAACTCGCTCAAGTTATCGCCGAATCTCCGCAAGGTGAAGAGTCACACGCGTGCAAGCAAGCACGCACATACATGCGTTTTTTTCAAGATTGCCCAAATGACAAACAAACACGGTTTCATGCGGAGACAAGTTGTGAAACCAACCACGGTTCAGGAGCTGCTCTGCCAGTTGAACAAAGCCATCTCAGTCGGTGGGGGACACGTAGCTTGAAGAAGGTTTTTTAATGCTGTCGTTGTATTTGCCTATCCCACTCTCTTACTTCACGATACACGAGTGTTTTGGTGTCATCTGGGTGCTCATGTGCCGCAAGACGGCGACGTGATCGAACTTTGTTTCGAGGTTCTTATGATAGGCACGTGTACGTTCTACATGGAGGCACGGACCGAGTCCTTCGCGACGAAGCACCGGCGATGCTAATCCGATGTTGGCCACAGAGGTGCTGAAATGGGATTCAAACCGAAAAGTTTTTTTCGGGCACATTCGACCTACTACATAGCATCCTTTACAAAGTTTGCGCCTACGGCTGCCCCACGTTTGACTGACTAAATTTCTGTTCAAATCAGAGGTGGTGTATTGTTTTGAGTTCTGGTGGGATATTCGCGGCACTTTCTCGCAGAAAACGTTACTGTTTCTCTTGGAACATATTCTCCCACATCAACTATTTAGGTCCACGAGCCTCGCGACGACGAGGGCAACGTGGTTGAGCACGACCCGATCAAGCTGCAGGTCGACAAGATGGACAGGCTGCTCACCGTGGCAGATACCAAGCCTGTTAGCGGCTGAAGTTAGCTGTCCATGTTGCCACTCGGATCATGGGCTGGCGTTCGGCCAACTTGATGGTGCCGTGTTCGACTGTCGTATAGCCACTCTCGTCGACGGTTGGAAGCCGAAATGGTGATGCAGCCTGAAGGCTCGGAGTCCCCCCTCCGCCACACCGGGAGATCGGGCGGCGTACCGGTCCGCTGGTTTGGTGACGTCTTGGTTGCGGTTCTTCTACTGTATTTCTGAGTTGGTGCTTCCGGTTAGGTCCTTGCCCGTCGAGTTCTTTATCTCGATATTCGCCGTGTACATACATGCAAATAGTCTAGTTAGTCTGTGTCTGTGTTTCGGCGCTCTGGCGCGTTCGGCGTTTGTATCTACTTTCGCCTACACTCGCCGTGAAACAGCCACTTAATAATTCTGTGCGTCTGTGTCCTCTTCGTTGTCTATTGCTAGACTTCTTTTCGTGTGCGTGCTTGATTTGCAGCGAAGAACCGATGACTATCCTCTTCGTATTATTCCATTTTTTCTGCAGTAGGGACCCAAGCAAAACCAACCCGACGCCATTTGATTTGTCTGGTCGGGCAAACCAAAGTCCATCAACATGCGGCCGTCTCTGGTCCGTTCATGTTGTTCATTTCGGCATCCATGAAAAACCATATATGGGCACCGCTTTGCTCTCTGTTGACTTGTTGTCTTCTCTGGTGAGAGCGGCCATGCTAGGAATGTATACGGCCGGCGGTTGTTACATCTCCATCCCATCAGATCTCGCCACAGGTGGACGAAATTGATTTACATCAACAGTGACCCACGAACAATGATCCCCCACCACTATATTGGTGGTCGAGTAAATTATTTTGTGTGGGGTCGATAACCGTCACTCCGTGCAAAGGGGATGATCGCACCTCGTTGTGTTAAAATGGTCAAGCACCCTCGAGGTAGTTGCACAGTGCGTACAACTGTCTCTGGAAGTGAAAGCACCAGAAAATAATTAAGTCATTCGAAGCTGTCATCCGTAGCAAGGAAATAAGCACAAGATGCCGAACACCCTTAGCAGGATGCAGCGCACCCTCCATGCGACTCGCCGAATACCTCGAGGTGCTTCGCACCTGGTGATGTGAGAGGCTGATCCGGTGAGAACCCGGTGTGCTCCGTCCCGGCTTTGTAGGGATGCGAGGCCAATGGTCTAACGACTACGGCCTGCACGACTATGAGTACCCCCCCCAAAAAAAAAAACACGACAAAGCGTCCTGCTGCTTCTTACAAAGAAACGCTAGATTACCCGCACCCGCGATACCTATTTCTACAAAACGCTACACCAGAGCAGCAGCAGCAGCAGCAGCCGCAACAGCGGCGGCAGCAGAACTGACAAAAAGAGAAAGACGGTGGAACTGGGTGCAGGCCGGGATACATTCCCTATTATTGCACAAAAATCATCTTGCTGTACGGACGCTCCCCGTCCTTGCACTGCAGGGGCTTGGCGCAGTAGGGGCAGATGGGGCGGTACACCGCATCTGGCGGGGCGTTGTTTGGCATCGCCAGCCTGGACCATCGTTCGGCCACCTATTGCGTGATTTTCAGTTTCAGTTCGCGGTATTGTTAGAAAAAATTGATTAGGTTACACGAGTTTTTTCTTTGTCTTTGTTTCGGTCCTTGCACTAAGACAGGCCATTAATCGACGGACCACGTACTACGGCTATGGATGTGGACATCGTACATGTGTACGCTCTCCAAAATAGGGCGAGACGCTAAGAAGAGGCTTATTCCGCTCAAGACAAAAAAAATTGCTGGGTGTGCGCTTCTGGAACCTCATGGCCTGGCCGCGAAACCAACAAACGAGCACTATTTCTATACCATATGATATACCCGTATCCCGGGAAAGTATCGACCACCACGAAGTTGAGCCTACTACTACCCAACGCCCTACCTCCAGACTGGCGGCGTGCCCACAAGGGTTGAACACGACCGTGGGTACTTCGCGATCGATCGCTGAACACCAGCCAAACTTTATCTGATCATTGTCGCGCCGCACAAACGATAGAGACAGCGACAGGTTGGCGGCAAGGCGGATTTGAATTCGAAAAAATGTTAGCACCCTGGACTTGATCGGCGGTTCTTTTCAGCGCAGTATTGACGAAGATCGTGTCCCCATCACAGCTTTTATTACGACCATGGGCTTGCATGAGTTCATGGCTATGCCGAAGAGTCTGGCAAGTAGTCCAGGATGCTGTTTCATTCGGTAGTGACACACACTATTTGTGACGGGTTGGAGCGGGTACGAGTGTTTATTGACGACGTGGAGATCGGATATTCTCGCAATAGTGCGGAGCGCGTGGAAGATCTGGAGAGATTTTCGAGTGCATGACGAAGTTCAGTCTGAAGCTTGCGCCGAGAAAGCTTGCGCCGAGAAAGCACATCACTTGGGGGTGACAGCGGTGACGGTCTTGTGTTATCAGGTCAAGGCCGAGGGGATCGAGCCGTGTCCAAAGAATTTGTTGAAACCGACGCTGTTGCGATTGCCGATGCCGACGAATGTTGGTCAGCTGAGGTCGCTATTTGGTCCTCCGAGACAAAAAAGGGTCGGGTCATTCGGAACCCGTGACTGGCATTTTAGAAGACGACATCAAACCATTGGACTAACTCGTCGAGATCCAGGCTGAACACTTAGGGTGTTTTGTTCCTGGGACTCTGGATACTCCTGACCAGAGAACGGGTGACGGAAAGACTCGTCTGAGACCCTGAAACGTTCTGCAGGGTGTGGATGATGAGTGAGAGAACGAAGCGGAATGCACATTGGGTGGATAGCAGCGCTGGCGAGGGGAGTCACCCTCCTCGGAGTTAAAGTGTCGGATCCTGGACCCCACGACTAACTTTTTTAGAAGCCGGAATCAAACCATTTGAGACGGCTTCTGAATATATAACCGTGTGCGAGACTCATTTTTCTGTCCAACCTCTTGTCGGGGATGCTGACCAGGACGCAAAGAACGACTGCCTGCTTGGCGTCGGCGGCTTGAAGGTGCCTCCAGCATGGACAGTCTTGACCGGAGAAGAACGGTCGGCTCGTACAACAAGCTTCTACTGCTGTTAAAATGAACTCCTTTCTCGACGTGAACACCATCATTATCCACAACTAACCGAAGGCGGCGATCCTGTACGATTTCATTCCATTCTCTGCCATTCCCCGACTCTCCCCTTCTTCTTTACGTTTGGCAGTTGATTTCACTGTACGGATATATACTAGTGATTGGATCAGAACGGTGGTGGAATAACAAATAAATAGCACGGGGAATGTTCGAGGGTTCTATGCACGAACGAACGCACTGACTGCTGCTGCTGCTGCTGCTGCTGTGCCTAGAACTTGGGTACATTTGACTGAGGAAGGCTGGGGAACTAGGAAATAGACATGGCAGGTTTCATTTGCATGCAGAGATAACTGAACATCTCAAATATAATTATTCGTATGGCTGTTGCTGCTTATGAACATGCGCCGGCTGATTGCGTCCACGGTTTTCGGATGGTTCAAGTCTAATAAAGGATTATAGTCTATACTGTTACCCCAATCTGCGTTGTGTTATGTCGATAATGTGCATGTAGCCAACCCCTCTCGCTCAATGTTTGGCACGATTCGGATACTATACATGCCCAAATTGAAGAAGTTCGTTAGTGCATTTTGCGTCACTCATCTTGGCCACCACGCTAGACATACACCATGCAAGACCTTGACAAATCTTCAACGCAATGGTCTTACTGCTGCTGTTGTTGGCCACACACACACGTACCCCCCCCCCCTACCTCCCTTCTCCCCACTGCTTCACTTGGGTACCTTACATGGGAACGGCTTTACTTAATTTTATTCGGACAGACCGGCGTGCAGTCCCCGAACTTGTTGTTCCGAGAAAACTCATCAGAAGTCATTGTTACAGTGAACAGGAGGACAAACAACACAGAGGAAATCGGAATCGCACACACGAAAGCGACGTAGCTGCTGTTATCCCAGAGGTACTTTCCCGTCTACTCTTGTCGGTACTCCCTCACGCACCTCTACGAGCGGGCCCGGCGTTCGGCACATTGGACATGGGCCCCAAGCGAGCTGCTTTGCGTAGCCTTGGACGTGTCCACATGCCGGGAAGATGTGCGGCACGAGAGCCTTCCCCTGGTGGAGGAGAAGGAGGCAACCAAGTATTGCAGCGCGTACTCAGCTGATCGCGCTAAGCTAGGGAGAAGGATCTTTACACTTCGCCAAACAGCGAGGGGCGCAATCAGTTCGACTGGGATAATAATCTCGTAGGAAAACAAACTCCTTACGTTTTATCTTGTTGCTTGCCGACAACGGTCACGCGGTGCCAATGATGAGGCACTTTAACGCACGTCGATCCAGCCCCCCCTCTCAAAAACAACACGCTTTCGAACACACAACGCCTATCGCTACGTAGTCAAATGATGGCTTCATTCAGTCTACGGTCTGCGGCCCCCCTCTTCACCTCGGTGCCTCCGTCGTCTCCCTGGGCATCGTTTCTTTCGCCGACGTCTTCCGCGCCAACCGCGCCATCAGCAGCAGTGGTCGTGGCGGCCGTAGCAACTGCAGCATCGCCGCTAGCACCGCCGGTCTCGGATGACGTCCATGATGTAGGCGGTGGTTTCCACGGCTTGAACTGCAGCGTTTGGAGCTGGACTGGGCACTGCGGTTTACGATCGTTCAGGAGTTCGATAACCTGGGAGGGTTGCACTCCCCCTAGTCTTGCCATTTGTTCTGCAGACTCGTACAACATCTGTCGGAGGCAAAGACACAGAGTCGAAACAGGTAAGAAGGTTACGACACGTTACGTTGACAGGACGAAGGCGATTAATACCGACGCACCCCAGAGGGCGAACGAGAAGCATGAACACAACTCGGCCATGACCCAACGACAGAAGGTGATGGGTGACACCATCATTCCAAGTCTCGCGATTTCTCAGAACACGGAAAACAACGGCACGCTGGTGCTCCTGCCGTTTCAATGTCAGGGGAGTGGCCATGCTAAGCTTCGATGTTCACGGTGCATCACTTTTCGGGATGTTAGGGCTGCTTCTTCTGTACACGCTCCGCGTCCTGCACGTACCTACCGCTCACAGACCCGGGAGGTAGTCACTTCTTTCTCCCCGGTTCTGCTGTGCTGACGACTGTCCGTGATCGGAGGGTTCTTTCGAGTCTAAAAACAGTCCGGGACTATCCCTCCCGACAAATTACTTCTATTATCGCGGTCGTTCCATGCCCGACGCCCTCCACCGGCGTCACGATTCTTCAATTTGAAAAATGTACAGAATAACGCAGCTACCTGTAGCCCCACCTACCCACTCCCCCCCTCGCTAGATATACAGCACCCCTCCGTCAGCTTCACCTGTACGCCGCCGATGTCGATAATTGTCCCCGAAGTGAGTTCGTTGGTTTCGCCGGGAACGAGGTCGCCGATTGTGTCTAGGCGGCCAGCCGCGCGCAGCCGGCGAATTGCGCCCGCCACGGTCACCTTGGTTCGAATAGGTCGACGAAGTCGACGGCGTGGGTTGCGGCGACAACGGTACACGGGATAGTGTGATTCTGTGGGACCGAAGAAAGTCTTTGAAAGCAAGTAGAAACTGCAGCAAAACACCTCCCACTGTCCTTGTGACGAGGTCATCGAACTCCCGGGGGCTAACAGTTTGTCTCGTCGGTCATGGCTTGGTGCATTGTACATAGGGATCTCCATGGATTGCCAACTTCTGCCTCAAAAGATTCAAGGTTGGTAACACGAATTCGTGAAGACGGCTTGGATAGCCATAGGCAAGTGGGTGGTACGAAAGCGTTCAATCGTAATCTACCAACAACTTATGTCTGTCTTCGTCAATTGTGTCATTTGTCTCTGACCTTTTCCGAGCGATATTACATACTACCACAACCATTTTCCTCTTGTTTTGTCTGGCCGTCCTTCGTTTTGTCCCGGTTGTCCCACACCGTCTCTCGTTTCACCTCTTTGTCCATTCCATTCTCGCCTGCCTTTTTTTTATTCAGTTGTATTTGTTCATCTCTTCTTTCGGTGTCCTGGTCAAGCCCAAGGAAAATGCTATGTAGAGATACGCGTGTTCTCTCTGCCCCTCTTTTGTGCCTGTCGTAGTACGGGACCATGCTAGAAATGGGGGCTGCGACAGTTGGAACAGCACGCGCGACTCTCGCAAACGAGCACGCATGTAATGTTGTGGATGTTTCGGTGCCGACTTCTAGGAAAGTGAAAACACCGCAGCTTTCTCGGGCGACAAACATTTCCCCGCGGAAACCCACCCCTTAAGGACAGAACGTCCTTCCTTCAATACTCGCTTACCTCTCTCCACTCGCCTATCTCCGGTTTGAGAATGCGGATCCCAAATGGTGTGACGGCGTCCCACTCCCCGTTGTCCTCCAGCCACTTCGGCGACGACTCGGGGAGGGTCAAACATTTCCTGCAACGTTCGAAGAGGGGACGGTGTGTGTGTTAGAGTGAGCGAACCTAGACCCTACAGGTCTACAGTATGTGCCAAGCGACACGCTAGGCAGCAGTTCATGCTCTCCACATCCTCATACGTCTCCGTTGCAATATCGCTTCCACACGCTCGCTTGCGTGAACCTTACCTCGAGTTGAAGCCCGCTGTGAATATCCTGCACCGGTGCGGGGGACTCCTGTCGACCAGGAGCCGCACGGCGTACCGGCTGACCGGTCCGCACACCTTCCCGCCGGGCTTGGGCTGGTGCAGCGGCCCCCTCACCGCGAAGTCGTTCTCGGCACTCTGCATCCTCCCGAGCTGAAACATGTCGCAGCCATCGTCCGCCTGGCATGGAACATCCACCACATCCTCCGCTCCCCCCAGTGTTTCCGCTGGAGCCTGCGTAGTTGACGCGCGCCCTCTGCCAGCGCGTTCGGCTGCTTCCCTCTGCTGCGCGGAAAGCGACAGCTGTAGCCGATAGCCGGCGGCGTGGCTTTGGCTCTCCCCTTGCGCGCTCTTCAGCAAGAAACTTCTCCCTCCCCGATTTTGGCCGTCACCGTCACCAGCGCCGCTGCTCACACCGCAGTTCCTTGGCAACCTAGCGTTCGTGCCGCCGATCCCACCCTCCCCACCGCGCGCTCTGTGGGGCGGGTTCCTCCCGCCGCAGGACTCGGTCGGTCGCGCCTCCGGTGTCTTGAACGTCACTTGCTTCTCGCAGCGGCCGCGCGGTACATTCTTCGTTGACCTGACACTGCCACCTTCGTCGTCGTGTTCATTTCTATCGGCAGGTTTGACTAGGGTCTCTTTCGTGCGGATATTGCGACTGGGGCTCGCCATTCCACCTTGGCAGCACGGAGGGCTGCTGCCGACTGTATCGTTCTTGTGGACGGCACCAACACCGTCATGAACACCGCCGCCGCCGCCGCCGCCGCCGCCGCCGCCGTTACCACTCCTGCCGCCGACATGAACTCCGTTCGGTGACTCGCGCCGGGCGAGGATAAATCTTGCGTTCTTCGGGCCGACGCGGTGCCACGTCGAGTCGCGCACAGAAAACTCCTGCGTGCGTGTCAGGACCGAAATGTTGGCCGAAATCAGAGAGGTCACCAAGAGGACAAAAATGCTGCCGAACAGGTCGTCGGCATGTCCGAGCGACGGGAAGACGACATGCCGTAGAGTGTTGGAGGAGAACAAGGTTCCACGAAGGTGAGAATAGATTAAATAGAAAAGGAAAATTGATCTCCCCAGTGCCTCACTTTGGGCTTGATCCGTGTCAGTATCATCGATACTCTATATCATCGTCCATGTTTTCCGAGGGGGGCACGGTGTAGCGGTGGTCCACGCAAGCAAGCGTTATTGCAGGAACTACGGAGAGACATGTGCAGTATGGTCAAGTTTTCATCTTCTCTGTTGCCCCGACTTGCTTACTTTGTATCCAAGCACCACCAGCTGGCCGTAGCTATTGTTCGCCCCGGAAGTGACTACGCGGATAGCCTGTCGGAGGAGATGTCTGGTGAGTACGGGGCATGAGCGGTAAAAAAAAACATTAGGGCGTGCGGAAAACGGCGAGATCGAGTCTGGTCAAGCCTGTAGATCGAGCAGCTTGAGTGTGCATTCCGCTAGACAGACGAGCTTCGAGCTCATACTACGCCGTCGACACTTGCTGATTGGGATGATAACTTTGGGCGTTAATATTTCTACTCCAAATGCATGAGAGAACGTTTTCCTTCTGGGCACTTCGCTCCATTTTCCGCCTGTTCGAGGAAGCCGGCACAAGGCTGACAAAGTAACAACATCCGGTGACCGCTCGAATGACCAAACAAAGCTCTCACTGAATACAACGGATTAAATTGGAAGTTTCTTCCCGAGGATTGTCTGCATGGGTTTCGACTCACCTGACATGTTTTTTTCCTCCGCCTTGACCAGCGGCTACCCCTCCGACCCCTTCCACCGTGGGTGCTGCCGAGAGCACACCCCCTTCTCCCGGAGGAGGTCGGCACAGGTTCGCTGGTGGCTCCGGAGAACAGCACCTGCAACCAGGAGGAAAGGAAGATCTTGCATTCTTCACTGAACTGGAAACCAAAGGCAACCATCTTGTCTCGCTGCTAGCGTCGCTACCCCTCGTGGTGTTGGTGATAGCTCCGATTGTTTCTCTCCAAGTTCGACACGCCTCCGACAGCGCCAAGGCCGCCTCCGCCGCTTGCGTCGCTTCTTCCCCTGATACTGATGGGTGAACAACCTCTTTGCTAGGATGGTGTCGCGACCAGAAAAGTGATTGCTTTTCCGCACAGAACGTTCCGCTGCTCCGGATTCCCCCGAGAACAGCACGAAGGTTAGGGTCTGCTAGTCGAGCGGCTGTCATCTCGCTGTCAAAGAGCTGGGCGAGGAGACAGGTGGTAGCATCTGCAGAGAGGTCGAGTTTGGATCTCGCCAAACAGACCAGCTCGGGCAGACCCGTTTTATCTATCTCCTCCAGCTTTGCTTCGCGCGAGATCATCAAGGCCAAACACACCCGAGCGGCCCCCAACGCCACGAAGTTGTCGACGACCACCCCGCGTCGGAGAATGTGGTCGTGTATCTCGGCAATAAGCTGATCGTCCTTCTCCGTAATTATTGGTGTCGGGGGTGATAAAGACGGTGCTGCAGAAGATGCCGCCCCCGCCGTCGCTGGTATCTTGCTTTCGTCTCCGCCCACCGTGGGCGAGTTGTCAATATATGCAGCCGATGCAAGTCTTCTTGCACAGCTCTTTTCACCACCACTTTCTCCTCCGGTCGCGTGGCCTGTTGATCTCGATCGGCAGTGAACACTCTTAGGAGCGGAAGGCCGGGACTGTGTCCGAAAAGTCACGCCTTCCACAATCGATGTCAGAGATGACGACAAATCATCAGGAGGAGTGCCCGATCTTAGTGTTCCAATAGCGGTAGACTCGTGCGCTGGTCGTCCCCTCGACCTAGGACATGAAGCAGCAGTCGCGCAGTAAATCTCATAAACACCAGCGTCTCGAGTTCGGTCTGCTTCTGTTGCTTCGGGCTCTATCGGCCTAATCACATGGTGGTTATGAATGCCACCATCAGCGTGAAGAGATGTCGTCGTGCTGGTTCGGTTCGATGGGGCGACGACGTCAACCGCAGCAGTGGCATCAGGTGTCTTCCGTGAGAAAAATGGAGTGGCGGTGCACCGCCCGAAGCACCATCGCATTTTCTTCCTCCAGACTTCAAGCTGCTCCACCTACTCGGCTTGGGTTGTTACGGACAATGCGAAGACTCGGCAAGGTGCCGATTGTCCAACCGCGTTCGTCCACGCGAATGATTCACAATAACACGTTTTCTGCCCCTCGGGATTAATCATGTGCCACGGAAAATGGAGGGACGATCGATCACACACAGCTAACGATCGGCCTGCGGCGCAGGACTTGCTTGCGCAGTAAATAATTCGTGTACGTGAGATTCGACAAAGCGAGACGTCTCGCTTACCAAGACCGAGGTCTCTTTGGGCCTCCTGCGCATATTTTGTAGACAGGTGAGCCACTACGTCTTGATACGTATATAGATGCGCATACACGCATACACGCAGACGCGCAGACGTCCGTTTTGCCGGTCCAACTGGTACCGTTTCGTGAAAAATTGTGCCGCGTTTTTTGGTTCTGGTCGTTGGTCACTGGCGTCACTGGTCACGGGTAGGCTTGTATGCATAGGCTTGGGGCTTGGGGAGGATGGCCCTACTAAGTATCTCTCATTCAACGTATGCAAATCTCAGTGTGTTTTCTTTCGCTCTCGTCCCCTATTATTACTACATAGGATCTCGGCCCTCTTCGCCAAAAATATTGCTTCACGAACGAAATGGCGACATGGCACGGCAGTCCACAGCAAGCAGTGGTCCACAGCAAGCAGTGGTCCCCAACAGCAGCAACAGCATGCGAAGTAAGGGCAGTCAGAGCTCGAAAAGTAATATCGCCGGTGAAGTACCTTCCCATACTCTAATCACCATATCTGTCCGTTGTTGGAGGCACTGCTGGGACAGAATAGCCAGAAATAATCTGAAATGGAGACGTGCTTTGATGGACGAGCTCCTCGAAAGCAGCAACAACGGCAAGTTGGTCCTGGTGACATCATCCTTGATGATTTATACTGCTGTACACAGCTGTCATACGCAAGGAAGTAAGCACAAGATGACGAACACCCTTTTAGCAGGGTGCAGCGCACCCTTCATGCGATTCGCCGAATACCTCACGGTTCTTCGCGCTTGGTGATGTGAGAGCCTGGTCCGGTGAGAACCCGGCGTGCTCCGTCCCGACCCAGTATGGTCTAACGTCTACGGCATGCACGACTACTACTACTATGAGTACACCCCCCTTTCTCGCCCGACCTAATTGACGAGGTCCGCAATAATAACAATGCTTCGCGATTTGGCCTGTTGGTTGTGGTTTCGTTGGGATAAATCGAACGTACAGCGAGCGCTAGACAGACACTAATAATGATGCAAACGGATGATATTGTGGAGATGCTCGGGATTTACTTAGAGTGTAGGACTCTTCCGGCGAACATAAGGTATTTAGTTCCTTGTGAAAGGAGCGAGGAGATGAAACTCCATTATGGCAAGATAAAGCAGGGGACAGGATCTAGTACAGCCCCTGCTTGAGGGAGCTGATCCCTCCCCCACCCACGTTTCTTTTATCATTCCTACCAGAGCCAAGGCAAAAAAAAGTAGTTCTTAAATGACGGGTCTTCCAGATTGTACAGCGCGTGCATATCCCTACGAGACTTCTCAATGAGCTCTACGAGGTAGAGTCTAATGGCAGACAGGATGAATGGGATTCGTTCACGATATTAGGCGATGACGAGAAACATTCTGTCCCCAAAAATATCTAACGACCGGCGGACGGATCGGTGTGACAATGTGACCCAACACTTCTTATGAGGAGGAAATATTGTCGCGAGGGAAACCCGAAAAGGAAAAGAGAGCAACCAGCCGCTCGTAGCCACCCGAACCGAAGGAATCAGCGCGTTGGAGATCTTGGTGCTGCTGCTGTACTCGTTCTACTGTTTCCGTGTTTGCTATGTGTGATTGAAAAAAAAAACAGCACCACCAACAGCAGCAGTTGAAGACGAGAGCACCACGCAATGCCTAGTTTTGGGCCAAGAACGGACTGAATGCCGCTTCTGCCGCTTGTCCATCTCCACAATAGACCTGGACGTGAGTCTGGCAGGTCTTTCTAGCGTTCTCAGTGATGTTACAGCGCCCGCGGTGCGCTTGTCCGATGTTTCTGTCAAAAACACGGATTCGTTAAAGTAGCAAGCCCCCAAAAAAACCGGCTCCTTCTTTTCACGCTTTCGGGGAAAAACGCCTCCATATGTGTTCAAGAAAACACGGTTTCGTTTTTTTTTTTCGTGTTGTGTTGGTCGATAAGAAACACCCTTACAGAGAGGAGTTTGAATCATCAATAGGTGCATGGAAAAAAAGGCAAAATTCAACTCGCTGTACACGAACAGACCAAGCGGCGATTGCTTCTTTGCGAACCACACACACAGCAGCTGCGACTGCCGCCACCTCCGAATCAGGATTGGTGAAGGAAAGGGTTTGTACGCCTGAATCCCTCGGATTGACAAAACTCGCCTTCACGAGAAGTGTAGGGCGTCTACTGATAGTCTTGCATGTATCTATATCCCAAGACACAGGGAGAGGTGGACAGCAGTCGTGACCCCGGCTAGAATTTACTAGTGCGTAAGCCATGTATCGGATCGTGGAGACTGGCGCCTAGAATGCATGTGAGGATAAAATCGGTGGTGAACCCTGTTGCTACATCAACAACATCGCAGCGTGGTGTCTCTCTTCACACTATAAATAAGTGTTCTGCACCCATGGTGTTTGCTACGCAGCCAGCCCTGATCGGCGTGTCCAGCGAATATTGCACGGCCAAGCACGTTTGTTATTTTTGGCGTAAAGTTTCATCCAACACAAAAGAGGCCCCCTCTAAGAAGAAACATACGAGGGGAGCGTACAGAGCCGATATCACGGTGGTTGCATCTCTTACGCTACGCTTCTAAGGAATCCCGACACCAAGGCCTGTCGAATTTCACATCATTTCGCGAGACGTGTGGTTCATTGGAAGGAAAGGATTACCACACTCCGGAGAATAATTCACCGCTCAATACAAAACCTAGTACACAGCTGAGTCAACCCAAGAGAAGCAATAAGGACGAAAACAAGGCGGGATTTAATGACAACAAACCTTCGGCAAACGCCTTCATGGCGCACCACCTACGATTCGTCCGCTACCTCGAACTCCAACTCATTCGCTTGTGCGGTCGTGATCATTCGTCTTGCCACTACTCCAGCATACACGGACTGCAAAATCAAACATACGACAACAATAACATGAAAAATAAAATAAACCACAAAGCACAGGTGCTCACCTAGTGTAGGCTGCGCGAGGAAGACAAAAGGCCGAAAATGACAAACACAACGAGTTGTGCAACGAAGAGCGCTTGTTCCACCCTCAACGCGGCGTATCGTACTCGATCCCCCCGCCCCCCCGCGGGCGACGAGCGCTGACAAGCGTGCCCCCACCCCCCCAGCGTGAGGCGGCCCGTATGTAAAACAAATGGCGCACCGGGCATGCAACCACTCCACAAACTAAGCGCGCTATGTTAAAAAAGAGAACAAAGTGGCACCAATCGGTCCGCCAAATAATACACGGTTCATGAACAACATCCCCTTTCCGTTCCCGTTCCCCGCGCTGCAGAAGGCAACAGCAGCAGTAGCAAACCTAGCCCCATGATTCTCGAAAGCGCGACATCGTCGGCGCATCAGACCGAGAAAGATGGCGTTGAGCGAGTCTCGGAGAGACTCGGAGTAATCGCCTCCTCCCGCAACTTTCGCTTGTTGGCCTCGTCTATGCGCTTCGCGTTGAGCATGAGCGGGTACGGCAACAAGTGGGACAGCATGATGATGACGATCAGGGTCTCCGGCCAGTCGGTGTAGTCCCACACCCACGAGATCACGTACGGCACGATGCTCGCTCCGAAGTTAAGGCCGAACATCACCACCGACATGCCCATCTCCGAGGGCATCGTCACCCGGTTGTTGAGGTCGTAGCAGTAGCCCACGGTCGGCCCGTTGTAGAGCCCGTACGCCGCGATCCCGGTCCACAGGACAAACGCCGAGGACTGGAACACTAGGATTGCCGCCGCCGCCGCCGCACCGCACAGGAACAGGATGGTGGAGTGCCGGTACAGGCGCGGGAGGGTGAGGTGTCGCTGGTCCTGCAGACCCGCGAGACGTCCGATGGTAATGGCCGTCCACAGGACAACGATAAGGAGCTCCGCGTGCGATTCGTCGATGACGTCGGTGTCGTCGACGTAGCTCTCCAGGTACGCGGTGGCGCCCACCTGCAGTGAAATAGGGTTTGGGCAGTGTTGGGGGCACACGGGAGGTATTTAGCTGGTAGCTCCAGCCAACCAAGCAAGACATGTGGTGGTCATCGCCTTGAGTGCGTAGCCGGGTTTAAAGCTGTTGGAGAAGCTAGCAAGTGGAGCCAGGACTACTCGTGGTGTGAATAAATTGTGTTGTGTGTGTGGGGGGGGGGACACGTCATGGTATGTGTGGTGGGGAGGTCATGAGCTCATTATCACAACCCTTCTTCAAGCATGGCTGGTTGTTGGATCGACACAGCTGGAGCTCTTGAAACGAACGGCAGGGTGCATGTGAGAACGGAAGACTGCTGTGGAGTCTAACGAGAGACACCGCGGGTCTTTGCTGCTGACTTAATACCATGCACAACTTTACCAATACAAGGAGGAAAAGCTTAGACACCAACACAACTACTAGGCCTGTCAGGGGACACCTCGCAACCCGCAAGACCAACCTCTACGCGAGGTCAATATTCGCCAAGTCAAGGCACCAACATGTGGTTGTATTCCGAGGCTACCCCCCCTCCCAAAAAAGAAGAGAACAATACTATAACAAAGCGCCCCCCCTCACAGCGCTCGGGTAAAACGATCCTCCTCATGACGACACAATCAAAATGGCTGTGAATCTTCGTCTGGGCAGACGAACAAAACAAATTTCTGCTCTGGCCGTGGACTAGCTACTGCCGGTCCCAGTAAGACGTGCTGTAACGTTCGACGTTCGCTCACAAGCTCAAAGCGACACTTCGCCCAGTCTTTGTTTGCGAGAGAATAAAAAAACTGGAACCAGTCTTCACGAGAGAAAAAAAGACTGGAAGGCAAACACCACTGCGGCCCTTGTACATCGGGCGCCCGCACGCCGCGGGCGAAACAATTCATCAGGTCCCCATGATGCCACGGCAAAAAAAGGGGGAGTCCTCTCACCTTGCCGCCAATGAGGCAGAACACCATGCCGCTGATGTGGAACTCGATCTTGTACCTGCGGTAGAAGGCGGCCATCTTGCAAATGCTCGTCGAGCTTTCCCCCGGCACCCCCACGTTTTCCTCTCTGCGCTCCGGCATTTTCTTCCGCTCCTGCAGAAACGGGAGCAACTTGTGTCAAAAAAATATCAGTATCAACTAATATAAGTGTTCTCTTGAATACAACACAGCAGTATACAATGTCACATCCATCCATGAGCGATTTCAGTAGCACAAAACAATACCCGTTTCAGTATATGCCGTGACATGGCACACCAACGTTTGGCAGGTGCCTAGGATATTAATTGAACACAGCACTAGAAGAAAAAAAACGGACAAACTTTGAACGCGAACGAACGCAAATAATAATAAAAAAAACTCACCTCGAGCAGACCCTCGTACTTTTCTGGGGCGGGCAGGATGATCATGAACACCGCCGTCGCGCAGCTCACCGCCGACAGGATGACGTACTGGACAAAGAGCGAACCGGTCAGGTAGCCGATGAGCGGTACGAGCGCGCCCGAGATGCCGAAGACGACAGTGTTGGCCCCCAGCCAGGGCCCAGCCTTCGCCCCGTGCAGCTTCCGGGTCATGATCTGGCAGCCCGTGTCCGTGATGGCCGTGCAGAGGCCGAGTACGAAGAAGGAGAAGTGGAGGGTGTACACGGAGGTGATGAACGGCATGTAGATCAGGACCGACGTCAGGAGGAGCAAGATGATCGACATGACGTTGTTCCCCCGCATCCAGAGGTACAGCTTGGACGAGACCACTGCTCCGAGGACCGCTCCGACGCCTCGAGCGATGAACACGGACCCGACCTGCGGAGGAGGGGTAGATTGGCGGGGGGAACCGAACGTGACCGCAAATTAGAGATGGCACACCGACCCTATCTTGGCGGGCGAGAGGTTATACCCCACACGGGGGGTGAGATAGCGCATCAGGCTGGAAACGTGAAAGGAAAGGAGCGACTCAAGCCCCAAGGAAACGGCGACGGAGAAACGCAAGCGAGAGCACGAACACAAGTGACGAAGCTCTCGAGGCTGACGATGATTGGTGTGGTATTTATCCGACACGCGATGCACCCCAAGAGAAAATCTTGCGGTACGGAACCCGTCCGCGCTGCTGCGCTGCTCTGCTGGAAGGCGTGACGATGCCCGGCACGACCAAAAAAAAGAAAAGAAATCCATACGTGATGGCCTGTGAGCAGGACACCGGTCGCGTCTAGATTTACGAGTCTTTAAGTTCACACGTTGGTTGGGGTTGAACAGACGAGATTTCGCTAATGTCCTCGCCCTCTCGTTCCCAGCAGGGCTAGAACTCGGAAAAAAAAATACCATGAAAATACGCACGAGACAGCTAGTATCTGGACTTTGGCAGGCTTTGTCACGATCGTATTCTGCTTTCCTGCTGCTGACCACCACGGCGATAGCATACGAACTGCTGTATACACGATTGCATTCGACATTGTTTTTGGAGCCCCGTGCGTGCCTCACACGGCACTTTTTACACCTCTACAGCAGTACTTGGCTCCTGAAATAAGCACGATAAAAAAGGAATGCAGCTACCAGCGGATATTCCCGGAAGAAAACTGCAAGACATACCGACAAAGCTCAGCGCCGAGGAAAAATCCGGGCGCGGGTGGATACGAAGAGAAGCTTGCTTTGGGTCTGCATGATGAACGACGCTCGACGAGACTTGGGGGTCTGCCACGTGTGTTCCCAATCCCAACAGAAGTGCAACAGCACATAAAACGACAGAGGTGTTGTGTGAGGTGGTGGAACCAAGGGTTGCTCGCGGATGGTTCTCCAGCTATCCCGCCCCCCCCCTCCTCCTCCCCCTGAACCGACATGTTCATCTCGGGGCCCGCGCGTCCTCATCTCTTCTCCAAACGGCCTCTCCTTGCCTTTACGCCCATGTAGGAAGAGTGGGAAATGGATGAGAGACTTGACAGGAAGTTTGGGTTGTCTTCGCACAACATGGATACAACAAACAGCGAATTTTAACCCTCCTTGTCGCGCCAAGCCTACCGTCCATTTTCAACTACAGTGGCGTCATCATATTCTATTATTAATAGTCGCCCAAAGTCAAAACAACGGCAACCACCACGTATGTATGCACTCGTGTATGGTATCATTTTTACAATATTATTCCTAATATGTTTAATAAACCAGCAAGCTGTCAAAAGACACTGCGCCGTGTCCCCTGTGAAGGTTACATTTTACAATACACGACACAACGGAGGGATTCTCCCCGATATTTTGTCGTTGACCCAGTAGAGAACTACAGGGCATGTTTTGTAAATGTAAGCTACCTATACAGATGTTTTTGTACTTAGCACCAGCTGGCATCACTGATATAAATCATCAATGTATAGACTTAAAAAAGACTCGAAATAAGTCCAGTACCCAGCCGGTTTCCCTCCACTCACTGAAAAGACTCCACCACATCCCGTCCGACTGTGGGTATTTCTCGAATGGGTAGTCTTTCTGTAGGTGTATTGATTTTTCCTTAATGGCTGCGGTAGGCGGTAGGACACGAGAAGCAACAAATAAGGCGGAGAAAATCAAACCTCCTGCGTACCACCACCGCGCGTGATATTTCCGAGCCTGGCGCGTCCACGTATGTATGCACTGTAGTACCACGGCGCAGTCGAATTCAGTGTTTCACAAATACTACCTTGTGCCACTTTCTGTGTTTTTGTCAAACTGGGTGCACGGGTACCATCTGCGTGCAGAGCTTTGGGGGCATAAAGGTATGACATGAGCGCATGCTGACATCGCAATATTTGGTGCTGCGGTATACGGCGTGCGAAGTCGGCACGGCACACATTGCAAGAAGAAATAATGAAAGTAACGGCAATGTCGTGCAGGACCATCCATGGGATGATAAGGAAACACACACAGTAGTACAGCATCATGCTCTCGGGCCGTGCGGGGAGGATAACAACATGCACGTTGTTGGCGTGCAACGGTGAACTACAAAAATCCGTCTTTCTACATCGTGAAAGTTTTGGGGAGCAGCGTCGTCAATCGTGCACCTGGCAACGAAGGTGTCTGTCTGCAGCAACCTTTTCAAACTATCTTGTATTGTACCTAGACTGGTCCGGGCACTTCGTGTGACGGAGCAACCGAGAGTGACGTGATCGTGATCAAAGGTAGAGGCAAGGGGATTGAGGCGCCTCTCGACCGATTGACTTAGACAAAGCACGTCCTTTCGCTCTGTCTTCTACACGCTTGACTGTAGGTGTCACGTGATTGGCGTGGGTATGTAGAAACGACGAGTGTTTGGTGATCACGCGGTGGAGGAGCGGGATGGATCATCGAGCCATGACAAACTACACCACCATCGAAAGAACGGTAGGGGGGCAACTACTGGGTGTAGAGCAGTGTGCTCTGTGCCCTCTTTACACCTTGAAAAGACAAGCTCGTGACCAGCGAGGTAGCCAAAGACTTTGATGACTGACGCGCGGACACAAACAGCAGTCGGATGTGTGATACGGCCAACCACACCTTTGCGGGCAAAATCACGGTAAAACAGAGCCAGCCCAACACTCAGGTGGTGCGCTCTGACAGCGACGCTACAGATCAAACCCAACTTCCGAGCAGCCGCGTATTTTGGGATGACCAGCGTGACTCTCTAGGGAACCCTGCGAGCATCGGTTTCGGAGGAACAGGGCGCCTTCCTTCCCTTTCCCATCCTTGATGTGTGCCTAGATCATCATTGGTCTGATGATGAAAGTAGCTCTTTTCACCGCGACAAAATGTTCAGAAAGTGCGGATAATACTCGGTGGAAAGATACGACCACCACCACCACGAAAAGACAGCAGCAGCGCACTACACACAAAGGCATCTGGCTCTCACGTCGGTTGCCGTTGTGTCGCAGTTGTCTGCGAGGTCGTCCAGCGTCGATCCGAGCGCCACCAGCACGATGCCACACACTCCCATCGCGAACATGTACCCGGTGCCGAGCGCGTACTTGTAGTGCTTCCGTACATCCTCCTCCGGTGTCGCCGACGCTGACTGCTTGTCTCGGCCTCGTGCCGGCGACGACGGCGGCGAGGGACTTAACAGGGTGGTCGTCTCGCTCTCATTCTGGTAGCTCTCGTACTGGTTGCCATCCGGACCCGCCATCTTGCTGCGCAGCTATAGCTCTCCGCAGGCGAGGCCGTAGCGTGCCTCTCTCTCTCGGGGAGAGAGCACAGGGGTGCGGCAAAAGGCCGAGAAAAATCAAACCCTCGGAGAGGCAAGCCCGGGATCTGTCCGCGCAGCAAGTCGCTGCCGTCACTACTGTGAGTGATCAGAGAGCTGCAACGACAGGACAGCAAGGGGGAGCCGGACTAGCGGGGGTTGGGATGCAGTGGCCGGCGACGGACGTCAGAAGACGTGGGGGAGTGAAGTGGGGATCGATTGTGTGTGACAGTCACGGTATATGAGCCCGCGGGTCAAGCTGATTCGCGGAGGCTCTCCACAGCCGGTTTCCCGAGAGGTACCCGGTCGCCTCTTCTAATGTCACTCACGGAGCCCCCTAGCCTCACCCTCACCCTGCACAGCCGCGGCCGTGCTCACTACTGCCTACAAGACTACACATTGCACGCGACCAACTTGCACCCCAAGTCGCAGCTGTGAGCTGACTTACAGCCTTATCGTCGGACGCCGAGGACGAGAGCGAAGGGGAGAAGACTGACGTGGCGGAGACAGAGCTCGAGGTCAAGTTCGCCGGCGAAGAACCAGCGGAAGGGCAGAGGGAAAGGCGGCAGAGTTGCGGGAGAGATTTTGTCTAGATCGTCTCCTCTTGTCGCCCTGCCCCTCCCCCCCCACAGCCGAGAGAGCACAGGATGGCAACGGGTCTGTCGTTCTCCTCAGGTCAGTGCTTGTGTTCTCGTTCCCTCGGCCAGTTTGTCCCCTTACTCTTTTGGCTTGGATTATTACTACCTGCAATAGCATGACACTTGCATCTCGGCTGGTTTCGTACGCCCACGAGACGGTCAAGGCCGCATCGCCCACCTCGAGGAAGCAAGGCACATTATACATACACCCGTGCGTGGTTGAGTCTGCCCTTGCTACGGCTGATGCAGCCGCCAGTGTGAGGAGTGGTGGCCTCGCTTTTTGGTGGCGGCAGCATCGATGTTCGTGGGGGTAGTTCTGCCCTCGGATGTTTGGGCCGATCTTCTGTTTGCATGTGGACTCCTCCGCGACATCATCTGCAGGTCACACTCTTTTAGGGAAAAAAAAAAAAATCGTGCGTGGCCTTCGCCGCTTCCCCAGGGTAGGCCCAACCTGTGCCGTTCTCTCACCAGCATGCGTTTATATTCTAGCGCCCGCGCTCCTCTGCTTGGTTCCAACCGGCAACGGAGTCTGATAGAAACGCGTCAGGCAGACGGAATTCCGCTTTACCGCCGCGCATGTAGGTGTGAACACTCTTCGCCCCCCAGACACGTACAAGAAAAAAAGTAGGTACTGGTATATACATACCACGCGCTTCCGCCACCTCCACCCTTTACAACCTGATACTTGTACAGCTATTTATGGATGTACATCCATCCCTTTTTCTTGTGTCGCACTACAATACACCTTGGTAGCCCATGAAGGAGTTATGCGATGCCACCGTCGTACCGTGCCAGTCGGAATCCGAGCTGGTACTCCTTTAGAGAGCGCGCCATCAAAATATCGAAATTTTTGTCCTTTGTACTCGGCGAAAAGGCTGACGTTCTTTAGCGGCCAGCCCGTGTGCGGCACAGCGACCAACCTGTACGAGGCATTTGTTCTGAATGCCGACCCCTTTTCGGCGCGGCGTTTGCCACTAAACTTCTTGAGTTCGCGCTCTTGTTTGCGCCGTGCGTGCATGTGTGCAAACACACCGGACAAATTCTATACTGCTATTTACTTGGAAATACCTTGGGACGAAACAAATACATCAGTATTTTCGAGTCAGTTCTTCTCCTCAGATAGTATGGGATGTAAACAGTGGCATCACCTCCCGCAGGGGTTGGTGTTGCCACTTCGTAGCGAATGGAAAGAAATAAATATGGCTATGGGAAACAATCCTGTTTCCTGTCAAGCAGTAATAATACAGCGATCTATATTTATTTCTTTCCCATCCGCGACGATTGTATTTTCCGGAGAAAAAATTGACTGAAAATAGAAATAGAGAAATTCGAGAAAGATTCCAATAATCGTTGGGTGGGTGGGTGGTGTCTCAAAAAGGAGACTCTCCTTTCCTCTGTTTTCCTGTCTTGCACAGGTTTGACAAAAGGAAGTGAGAGTGTGTTCTTCCTCCTCCTTTGTTCTGGATCTTTACGTCTGGAGAATTCTTAAATCGTGCCTCTTTCTTCATTTCCTGTTTTGAGAATCCATCAGTATTTTCGAGTCAGTTCTTCTCCTCAGATAGTATGGGATGTAAACAGTGGCATCACCTCCCGCGGTCGGTGTATCCACTTCTCTCCCTTACTTAGGAAACTCAC